ACATTTACCCCCTGTACCCTACGAACAAACATTTACCCCCTGTACCCTACGAACAAACATTTACCCCATGTACCCTACGAGGTGAAAGATGACCTGTACACTACAAGGTTATAGTTGCCTCAACTCCTACTAGATGATAAATGCTCCATACCCTACGACAAGATACATGCCCATAACTTTGACCGCACTGAATACTGTACTTCAATATGCAACTAAAGGCATCAGTCCTCGGGGTCGCAGCAACAACCGACCGGAAGATTATCTTCTCGTTGAAGATATCGAAGAAAATAGATTTCAAACTTTTCATTTTATGAAACTACGTTGCGGTAAGCATCTCACCCTGCCATTCTCACTTTACTATTTCAAACAAAAATCTTCTTGATTTTATATAAGAAAGTTTGACGGCTATAGATGCTTAAGGATCTCGTAATAATTAATTCTTTATATTTCTTTTCAACATTACCATTGTATCAAGAATCAGCTAGAGTGTTCAAGTGTGTGATGTCATCAAGCTCTACCTGTTCGCTTGTCATGACAGTTATTAATTCTAGATATTTTTACATGAATATCAATCTCAGTGTCAAACAATCACTTCATTTTCCATTTGTCTTTGATGACAGAGTTGAATTCATCCAAAGAGCTGTCACATCCGTCACCACTATTCGTTCGCATGGCGTCAGGCACGCTGACTCCACCTTCATTATTACCACACAACACACAATAAAGATCATCTTAAGCTTTTCATTTTATGTTGAACGGTGGAGATGACACTTAGGAAGCATTTTCTCGCATATTATACCATTAAATGGAGCGCGGCCAGCTTGTCTCTATGTTCAATAGGAAGGAAGGAAGGAACTCGTTAATCAGTTTGCCGAGATAAAATGAATTATAAGAAAATGGGACAAATTAGCAAATATGAAAAAACGCACTTAGAAACGGTATATGGGGAAAACAAACCTTAGTTTTAGGACATATCCTCATGACAGATCTCACTAAAGAAAAAATTAGAGATAGGAAGCATATGGTGTTTCTAAGAGATCATTGCTCAAATCTGGAGTAAACATGTCTTTAATTAACTACTCAGTTCATTGGCATAGTAACCAGCGGTACCGTTGGTCCGCGGTTTCAAACAGACCAACATTAGAGGCAACAAAACATCGTAAAACCCCGTAAAAAACGGGGAACCAAAATACTTTCAACAACTTGTGCTCGCGACCTGCTGCTCCATTTGACGGGCTTCCTGTGGCCGATGAAAGACTGCAAAGTTTTTTTTTTTTTTTGTCTTATTTCGCATGTTCTTCGGTGGCTGAGCGGCATGAGTAAATATAAAACAGACAAGGATGAATAATAAATAAATAGATAAATAAATAAAATTTTGGAAAGTGACGGTTTAAATGGAACTGAGAGAAATGACCAGAAATGGCAAAAGATAATATGTGCTGTAAGTTATATAATCTATGAAGTAGTTCAAGCACTGATATGAGACCAAATATAAATGACAGAATATAAAAGTCTTAAGCATGTGTGGCCTAGCTTGCTTTAATACAGTTGACGTGTTTTGTCTACTAGCTCTTGGAGTTGTGTCTGTTCTACTGACAAACATTCCCTGCCAATACCTCCCTCCTCGTTTACGAATCAACTGATCTTTACTTATTAATTATATATTAACATCTAAACCAACTGCCAAAAATCAACATATAAACGACCTCTGAAGAGAAGAGGAAAAACAGATGATTGACAATGAAAAAACGTTTGAAAAGCTATATTTGCAAACTATCCATGATTGTGAAATGAGATGCATTGCCTCTGACAGAAATGCTGGAAACTTGAGAACAATTGCTGTCGAAGTGAGTACACAGATACTCTTCAAACCGAAGAATCTTATGTGCCCCATTTACTCGAAAAACTTTCCAGCTCGTTTTCAGTTTATGAAACATCCTTTTCAGTGAATAACATGCGATTTCGAGATATTCGGATATTCTGAGTTCAGGTCGTCAGGGCCCCAAACCCATTCCTTGCAGTTTCGGTACAGTCAAAGTTCAAAACTACTATGCATTGCTGTGGACAGGCATTTATGTCTTTTGTGACTCACTTTATAAGGGATAACAATGCATATAAGACAAGGCTCAATGACCAAAACAAAACAACAGATCGAAGCAATAAAAAAGCGCATAAATTGTGATGAAAATAGCAAAGCCTTTCAACCGTATCCTAGCAACACTGATGCATCTTTTCATTCTAGTGAGAAAGCAATATATGTTGATATGCTGTAGGAGTAGACTGTGCTAGACTCTTTCCTTTTTCTTAGTAAGTCAAGTCAAAATTTCCCGGGTGACCTGTGTCCTTGACGCCGCAGGTCCAGAGCGAGTATCAACCTAAAATACATCGTTTATTAATTATATTATACACATTCACGTTTGGTCCTATAGTTTAAATTAGTAAAAAATGAACTTTATTTAATTATACGAAATTACACATGATAATTTGTAACTTTTTGATCGATAAATTACGCTTGAGCGCTCACCGATTTTTTTCCTGTTTGACATGTCGAAGTCGATCTTGACAGTGAATCCTTCAAATCAGCCCGTTAATAAAAATGATTTTAGAATTCAAGTTTATAATCGGATGCCAGACTTTCATCCTTGTTTACAACTTGATGGTAAGGCTTATCGAGTTGTTCATGTAGTGGAGTGTTTTCTTTTCATTTCTGCCGTTTTTCACTCTACGACTCATAGAGCATTCTGATTGCTCCTTTTCAAACATTCAAAAGCAATTTCATTACTAAAATCTAATAACTGCCAGTGGTTATGAGATACTGATTATTTTAGGGTCGAATCATGAAACGGTTACGCTCTGAGATTATGGAAATAATATCAGCACTGTTAAGAATGACATGAATTAATATACATCAAATATGTGATAAATTTATTGTTAAAAATATCCAGCATGGTTACATTTTCTGAAAGGAATTATACAGTTTTCTGTAAATTGTTTCCGTGTAATGAATGAAATGATCATACCGATCAAAGATTCGAATTTTTGACGATTTGATTTGTTTTCGCCTTGCCGTGTCACGAAGGCTTAATGAGATCTTTTCGAAAATTTTCACATTTTAGATCTACGCCACTAACCGGATGCCTTGTTTCGTTGATAAAGCGTCATAAATCTTTCTAGCATCCGATGAAATTCTCATCTTCAACAATAAAAGTCAATTTACATGAACAAATTCATGAGTTCCTGTCATGGGTGAAATTATCTCATGATTATTTGAGAATACTTCTTACATGGCTTTCAAAAATCAGAATCGACTGTTGATCAAAAATTCAAAAGACGAATCAATAATTCGAGAAAATATTGCGAAACAAGAAATGAACATTCAATCACTTTAAAAAAATTGAATTTTTCGCGAAAATGACGATATTCCAAGTGTTGATTGGCGCGAGGGTTGAATTCTGTCATCTGATTGGCTGTCATTCACCAGCCCACACAACTCCTTCGCTCTTTCATGGCGTTGTGATTTCAAAACACCTACAAGAAGAACACCAACTTCGACGACAAAATGCCTTCAACTAAGTCAACGTCAATAAAATTTCCGATGGACGAAGTCAACGCAAATAAAATTTCCGATTGACAAGTTTCACAGCGCTCAAGTTTGCTTTAACTTACTAGTAAATTGTCTGTTCAACGATGTACAARCTTCATAGAACCAAGCGACCGTAAATATCATCAAAAGACAACAGTTTTTAGCTTAAGAAAATAATTTATTTGTCCACTCTTGAATTAACTCACTAACATGATAAAATATATCACATCAACAAGCTCAAATAAGTGAAAATTGTATTATATAGAATATCTTGGTACTGTATTCATATGTGGCCATTACAGAACATTCTCTTGTAAACATCACATATCGGATTTCAGGCTAGAAAGAATCACATTTTTTAATAAAAATACCCTTGTGATTTTTTCTTTTCCGTTTGTAAAACACTTATTAATATAATTTTCGTCCCTGCAGGTAGTATAAGCACTTTTCGTAATGAAATCCATAATATTGATTGAATTTCGACGGTACAAATATAATTTTTTTATGACAACTTTTGTCCTAAAAGTTACAAGAAAATAAATCTATTCTTGAACAGGTTTGAATTCCCGTGTGTGATTCCATATTCTATATACATTGTTATTAAGTTAGCCTTATTAAAGGCTCTTCGACAGTCCGATTTAAAAACACTGCACAAGATTTGACTGGTACAGATATTGCGTATCCGAAGGCTCGGGATAGTACACCGGGCTTGGTGGATTTGCTCCATAACTCTCACAATAACTGAACCCAGTAGGAGAATAACGTTTAGCAAGTGTAGTGATGAGTCTTAAAGTCTGCCTTCTCTCATGTCCCATTAAGCAGACTGTAGAGTTTGATACGATAGTGTATAGGATCATCAAATACTGGTATTTAGTGTCGTCCTCGTCGATGAAGTGACTAGCCAGGTAGCTTTCAAGCTTCACTCGTTGCTGTTCCACATCTCCAAAGTCAATAAAAAACCTACTACACATGTATCGTTCCAGCATATGGATGGTGTTGATGTTTTCTGGGAAGTAATTCCGGACGAGAAGGTTACAGTATTTCAGTAGCCCACCACCGCGGATTTCCTCCGGGTTACGGGTCGCGATGAGATGGTTGTCCAAATGAAATAGTGCCAGTTTGATGTCTCCATAAACTGACTCAGCAACAACTGTCGGGAAGAAATTCGACTGCATTGGCACGTCTGATAGTTTATAAAAACCGATCAATGAATCGAGTTTGATCTGGAACGAGTCCACGGAGAACTCGAACTGTCGCCTCATGGCGTCCACGAACTTGAGTTCTATGTTCTTGCCTTCGTTGTTGGACAGCGAAATCAGCGACCATCGATCGTTGTCATTTGAAACTTTGACCATTTTTTGCACGTAGGCTTCCTTGAGAGTACAGCTGGTCATTTTATCTTTGGAAACTCCGTTGGGCAGAAAATCGATGAGCGACGAAAGAACCACAGTCTTGATTTGTTGGAGATGAGAGTGAGATTTGATCTCAACACCAAAGATTAAGTCAATGTCGTTGTACGCAGTGATATTGTCGTGGCTCAAAATATAGCTTGCTGTACTGCCATTAAGGCGAATGTCTTTAATCTTGAGGCCTTCCTTCTTCAAGCCAGAGGACACCACGTCTATTAGGCTTCGAAGATGGACATCCAGTGTTGGAAAGTTTCCTCGTCCGTGTACCTGAACTACTTGGTTTAAAACCCGTTCGAGGCGAGAAACTTGGTCGAAAGTGAGGACCTGTTGTGTTGTGTCCATGGTTTTTGACTAAACTGGGCGGCGAAATGAAAAGTTGTGGCGAATTTTAAAGGAAGGAAAATTATGCTGAGTAAGAAAGATTTTTGTGACAGTGGCGCAAGACTTCAACGACCAGAAAAGTGAAATTTAAAGATCAGTCGACAAAATTTATCTGTTGAAGTGCTCGGATAATGCATTGTGATTGGTCTAAATAACAATAACTATTGAAGCCCTTAGCAACTGGACATAAAAGCGTGTCAGGGTACAGAGTTATCAGCCAATCACAGCACGGTATTTTCTCACAACCCGCCCACGTAAAGAACAGGAACCGGTGAGCCGTGTTTTTCTAATATTTCGCAAATACAACTGTTGATTTTACTACCCACTAGAATTATCATCGAAAACTGCATCAAACCTTGGAAAAATTAATTTACAAACCAAGATATAAAATTGCGAAAAAACGTTAGTATTTTTACCAGTAATTGTAGATGTAAAAACGCACGTGAAAAGAGACACATGGTTAATGACGCACTTCCGCTAGACGCACACATTCGGCCCCCGAAAAATGAATAAATATTTTATCGCACATTTTATTCCCATATTGCAAATTTTTCGCATTAGTCTATCGACATTATTCTAAAATAACTACTGACACTAAGTCATTAATTTTATATATTTTGTGAAATTTTAATAGGCATTATTAGAGAATCGTCGTTTGGGAAGAGATCGACTGACGTTATAGGAGAAAAAACTGAAGAAGAGTTCTGATATTTCACACGGTTCGTCATGCGGTATTAAAACTCTACTTTTTCTCTTCTTTTGTATTCAATTCATATCGAATTCTCCAGCAAACGTTCGTGAACGGATTTTCGCTCATAACGCAGAATCAGCAAGTTCGTCACCTATAGAAAGTATTTCTCGTATTCTGACGACATAACTAATCGACAGTACGCTGTTTTCTAATATCCGTAATAAGGGACTTAAATTCGCTATTGGCAACTTGGTTCATTTGATTAAAAGCTGAGTGAATCAGTCAGGGAACATGACAGACCGGTTGAAATGGGAATATGAAGGATGAATAGAGTTTAGTGGTTGGATAAGATGCGCGGGCGTGCATATCCTAATCCATGACGTACATACACCACACAAACCAACATACAAACGAAATATGCGAAACGAATTGTACTCACTTGGCTAAAATCAAAGCTTTATATTATCGCTTCGGTTCTTGATGATAACGTATGAAAAAAAGATGACAACAATCTCAATTCGTACACGAGATGGCGAATACACATCCTCAATTGGTTACTAGAAATAGGATTCATTTATCGGCTTAGAATAGGCACCAATTTGAAGTATTTATAGACTGGCTTATTTATTACGAAGACAAATCTTGATATCTATGCTGCCGAAATGCATGTACTCCAAAAGTATTAGAGTTCGTGTTTGTTGATATCTTAAAAAAGAGAGATAATGCTGTTTCTTCATCACTCTAAAAAGGAGAAAAAAGGAGTGATATACCCGAGTAAAGGCCTAAAGGGAATCACAATTGCAGTTTTTTTTATTTTTCAACAATATATTCCATCGATAACTCAAACAAGTGCCATCTTCTGGTGTTGACATTCACAATACTAAGAACAATACATTGGCCGCAAATAAAGCAAAAATGATCAAAGTGTATATTTTTGTTATCTTGAAATGGCTATAATGAAGATCAAAAATATCTATGTCGCTAAAAGTCAGATTCCCGGTGCAAGGCTTGAGCTCATCGTAAAACAAGGATTCTCAGAAATTCTTGACAATATATTTGACCAGAGTCGTCAACGTGACTTTTAGCACTTCTACATTTGCTTATGTAAACGTTCCAAGAACACTTAATGGCTAATATTTCAGACAAAAACAACTGAAGTTCACTGTGTGTCACACGTGGCCATAAGATAAAAAACCTCGCTTTCTTTCTGTCTCGTTTCTTTCTTTTGTCTTGTCTTGTTTAGTCATTGTTGTTGTTTCTTTTTATTCCGAATTCCTCCTGATTTCTTATTTATGTAAAGTTAGTTTTCATTAAAATATAGCTTTGGTTTTTGAGGAGATTGTAACTGCCTAACCAGTACCGATAGACGATATATTGATACATGTTGCTAGTCAAACGAAAAAATATTTGTAGGTCTTGCGGTAACGAGAACTATTAGCCATGATCTGACAAACGTCTTTCTTTAATAGGAGGCTTAACTTGAGCTTAGAATTGGCCATGTGTTTGATGGCGGATATCAGGGGGATGATTTGTTGTTTTTGATGGTGGTTATCAGGGGGATGATTTATTGTGTTTGATGGTGGTTATCAGGGGGATGATTTACTGTGTTTGATGGTGGTTATCAGGGGGATGATTTATTGTGTTTGATGGTGGATATCAGGGGGATGATTTACTGTGTTTGATGGTGGTTATCAGGGGGATGATTTGTTGTTATTGATGGTGGATATCAGGGGGATGATTTAGCAAACACGATGCTAATTGTAAATGACTCAAGCTCCCCGATGTCTACTTGAGTGAGATATTCATGTTCTTAAATCAGAGATTGGAACTGCGCCAAGTTTAACTCACACTAATCCAGTCTTCCAGTTGCCCTGCATACACTCGACGTCCGGCTGCATTGATTGTACAGCGAATGGCACTCCCCCTCACACTTGAAAATATAATGGCATGCGTCCCCCTCCTCCCCAAACGCAATTTCATGAAAATTATACTAATTCACATACTAAATATGGTTTAACTAAGTGACTTAAAGAGGAAGTTAACAATAGAACTAGTGCTCCTTAGCTAATGACTGGATGTTGACTGGACACCCGTAGCTATCAGAACAGCTGGCTACATCATACATCAGGAACTCTATGCCATTCTTTTAGTCGATAGCACTTTTGCCATACAGCCGCTAACATTAGCCGTGAAGGACTCTGGGAGCTAGATTGCTGAAAATCGACAGCAGGTCCAACTCAAGCTCGTACTCTGGTATTGCCTGGTATCTTAGGTCACTGTGAACGTCTTTACGTGGTAACGTAGACTGTTGTGCAAAACACGGAGCATGGTGATATATCTCAAATTTTTTTGGAGAATAATAATTACGATTGCTTAGTCGCGCCATCTTAACTTGTCGCGCCGTTACTGACACACTCTAACTGGTTTTTGTGCATTGTGGCCTGACGATATACTCAGATGAATAGTTCAGTCTACTCATAAAGGTCTGAATGGGGTTTAGCGTTGTTAAATTTGCCGATACTTTTAAGTGTTTGATGTTCAGTTGGTCATTCTTTAATGTTTACTGTTTTTTAATACTGTTTAATGTTTGAAATGACCAGCATTCTCAAATGTTCACTTCGCTCTGCTTTTCAACCAATGGCGCATAAGCATGAGCGGATCCAGGGGAGGTGATTTGGGTGCGGACGAACCCCCCCTCCCCTCCCCTTTCCCCTTTTTGGACGACGTAATTGTTTTATATATCAGACTTTTTAAAGTCAATTATTTGTTAGAGGGCTATCTGACAAAAGTTAAACAATTTCATCACAGACGAGCCCTCACTAAGCTAAGAATAAGCAACCACGACTTAGAAATTGAAAAAGGTCGATATTCAGGTGGTTATAAAAAAGTAGAGGAAAGGAAGTGTTTTCATTGTAAAGATGCTGTAGAAGATGAAAAACACTTCCTTATTAAATGCCCCCTATACTCTAAGATTAGAGATAAATTTATTAAGAAAAATAACATTCACGATTTTATTGCGGAGGAAGAATTTTTTCTAAAATTAATAGATCCTCCAAAAAGATTACAAACACAAGCAGTAAAGTATATTTATGAATGCTTTGCCTTGCGAAGTAAGACAAAATATGGAAATAGTGACCTGTACAAAAAAACATATTTATCTATATATTCCGTTAATCGTTATATTGTATGGAACCAATGTTTATGTACCCTTGTGCAGAACTCCAAATAAAAAGTTGTTGTTGTTGTTGTTGTTGTTGTTGTTGTTGTTGTTGTATCAGTATAAACGTTTTTTCTGCTGTTTATGCTCCTGTTGTACTTTTATCGAGAAACAAGTAGCATACACAACGTGTTTGCCACTATGCTGCTAAACAATCTATTTGAGTAGTGTAGTCAAAGATACGTTCCAATAAAAGTCAATTTGCTTTCGGTGAAATTGGGCATAATTCTCTTGTTCTAGATAGTCTCCAATTGCAACCAACAAAAAATATCTATTTGCTATGCTTATAGTTTTTAGCTATATATTACTGACAAAAGCTAAAAAGATAAAATGCTAGATCAGCCCCTGCATAAGTCCTTTGTCAGGCTTTTCCATTTCTCTTGGTTCGCTGCTGCTGCTCTTCCTTCCTCCCATGTACCAAATCCTAATTCCTTCATTTCTTTCTTCTCTGTTTTTGGTTTATCTTTGCGTCTTCTTCCCTCTGGGGCCCATGTCGTCAAGGAAACCATCTCGTCGCTCTTCTTCTCCTTTCTATGTCCTATAATCGCCATCTCCGTCTCATTATTACTTGTAACTTAATGGTCCGGTCTCTGCCCTTTTTAGTAATTCGTCTGTGCTAACATGATCTTGCCACTGAGTACAATTCTTAAACTGATTTCTTTTGGAAACGTCAATTTCTCTATAACTTTTATTCACTTTCCACGTTTCACAGCAGTATGACAATACTGGCACAGACGTTAGCCGTTCTTTTTCTGTGATAATTATTCAATTGGATGATCAATGTCCTTCAAAAAAAAAGCAATGTTTCTTATCCGAAAAACCTTGTGGACCATCCTTCTCTCTACTCTTCACATTAGCAGTGAACCCTCACTGTGCTTTGGTCGTTCTGACTGCCCTACTTTCATTTCCGCAAGCTAGCAAAGAAGTATTAGTCCTAAGCTTCTCTAGGGTATTGAGTTAGACAGTCTCAAAGTCCCTAAATCTTTTAGATATGGCATGGCATATTTTTTGTGAAGGACGCGTGATTAATTTTCCCACTTTTTAATCCATTTCTCAACCTCCGCCTCCTTCATAATTACTACTTAGTCCTACTCTACGAAATCACAAATAAATGTTAGCTGGTGGTTTTCATTAACTTGTGACACAAACAGAAATGATCAAAGTAATGCTGTGTGAGCATATACAACGAAAAGATAAAGGAACATGAATTGATAAAATGAAAATAATTTGTAGTGCGCCAAAGTTTATTTCAATTTTTGTACTTGAATTAAAACAGAGAAGAACAAAATTTGTTTTTTTTTTTTTCGACTAATCGGGCCGTGAGGGAATTTTTTTCCTACCCCAAAAATCTAATGGTTTTGTCCCCTAACGTGGTATTCCCTCGTGTAATGATCATCGGAAAGAACCTTTAATAGAAAGTGTCTCGAAGACCATTTATCTGACACGTGGAGATCATATCATAATTCAAGCGAGTTCCTGTTTTTATGAAACACAAGCCCGTGTTTAACRAAAACCTCTTTTAACTATCTGGTCGATAAGAGGTGTTGATGCAAAGTTAGATTACGCTTAAAATGAAGATCATGAACAAGAACCGATATGTAAACAAATTAATTTTGAAAGATATTATAAACATCTGCCTGTCTTTTGTTCTCTATACTTCACTGAAATAGCTGTATAACAGGCCGAATCAAATGAACGAATGAAGTCAGGTTTATTTCCTTGTTTGTTTTTTAAAAAATCAATCCAAACTACGTAAAGATAAAGGTTAGTAGTCCAGTCAGTCTGGATGAATAAATGAATGGTAAATGAATGCATGAAAAACAAAACGAGCGATAACGCATTCAAAATTGGTAAAACATGCTCATATTTACAACATTGAAACATAGTTACAACATTGAAACATCATAAAATTATAACAATAAAAATACTKAAAATTGCAAGAGAAAGGAAATAAACGAAAAGAAGGCAAACAGAAAACACCAACAAGCGCAACAATCAAAGATTAAAAGCTAAAACCTTTTGATAGTCATGACGGGAAGCAGATGTCCGGGTTGATTGTAATAGTCTAGGGTACCATTAATGACATCCATTCACTGCGGTTTACTCAAAGATATATATCACTTTACAAAACGTTGGTAAAAATGGAGTTAACTAAGCGATCTGGATTAAGAAAAGACTTCACATCTTCATAACCTCTTTTGAGGTTAAAAAGGTGTGATTGACAGGCTTTACTATAACGCCTCTACACAATCCACTGTATGCATGTCAACGCCTTAACACTAATGCATATGAATCGCTCTATTTTATCCAGAGTTGAGGAAATCCACCATGGAAAAATAAAATGGGTTTAGCTCGGGTTTTTTTTAAGCTTTCAAGTTATATAATTTTCTCGATAATTCCGAAATGTAAGCGAACTGTCATAGGGTCCTGAGTCTAGCCTAGTATGACGTCTACTAAGGAACCAACGTTCTGACATAAGTTAGCTTACAATTCAAAGGCGTTTATAAAGGGAAAGAAAGAGATGATTCCTTAGTAGACGTCAAACTCGTACTAAACCCCTGGTTTCAAAGATATCGCAACTGGCGTACTGGCGGGAGATTTTAATACGATAGATTGTCCTATAATTAGGATACATGCAAATTTAATCCAAATCTTCTGTTCRTGGTACTACTTGACAAAGTTATGCTGGATCGACCAAACGGCATATCAAGTCACTGATTATAAATACCACTATAAATACTACACAACTTCTGCTACTTTCCATGTGTCAGCACATTAACGCAATTCTTTGAGATGTACGGTGATCATTAATGTCAGACACCAGGCCCCCGTCCAGTAATCGGCCAAACAGATTCGACAAGCCCATTCCTCACTCCAATAATTTCGTCGTACATGTTGACTGTTGGATCGCAGTGGCCTGGCACTAGCCATACTTGATCGCCAACCTTAGTCAAAGAATAAATGAGTTGTGACGACACCTTCCACACGCACAAAATACACACTTTACAAAACGTTGAATATTGAATACTGCATACGCGGCTGTCAACCCCAGTCAATTTCAACTCTTGAGATCGATAAATCCGCCACTTTGGCTTAAATTTTCGAAAATGCCGAACCAAAAGAAAAAAGATAGTGGGGAAATACCGCCCAAAATCTTGAGAGTCCCGGACTATCCCGGACTATCCCGGACTATCCCGGACTATCCCGGACAATCCCGGACTATCCCGGACAATCCCGGACTATCCCGGACTATCCCGGACAATCCCGGACAATCCCGGACTATCCCGGACAATCCCGGACTATCCCGGACTATCCCGGACAATCCCGGACAATCCCGGACTATCCCGGACAATCCCGGACTATCCCGGACTATCCCGGACAATCCCGGACAATCCCGGACTATCCCGGACAATCCCGGACTATCCCGGACTATCCCGGAC